GTAGTAAAATTTTCCCACAATCATATAAGTAGAACTGATGTTTCCATTTAATTTCCCAGATTGTATGTTTTGGGAAAGCAAAGCTATGGGAAATTCAATGGAAACATCAGCTTAACTCATATCATTGTGGGAAATTCTCCTACCAGTCCTTCATCAGCTTAAACGAATTGGGTGAATACATCTCATATAACTAAAATCACTCCGTTACTGGATATTTTGGGCTTGAAGAATCCTTATAAAGACTAGCTTAGATGCTGCGGATGAGCATTTGAGATCATAATAATTAAGCCAACACCCAGCCAAACTACCTTAAAAGTATGTTCCTTTTATGAGCAGGGTTTCGATACTACCAGCAAAGCGAATATATATAAGATACGTTCAACCTATTCCGTTTAAGATGATGAAGGATGGTAGTTAAATTTTTCCACAGTGATATGAGCAAACCTTGCGTTTCTATTGAAGTTAATATAGTCTCGAAACCCTACTTACAAAAAAAATCAGTAATGTAGTCAGTTGTTAAAGAAAATATAACTTTGCTTCAACGACAATCCCACCATAGAATGCTATATGGAAAAATGCCTAATCTTCCTTGAAGGTCAGATCTGTCTTGTAACCCAAGGACACACGTGGCAATGTAGTGCCGTGGTTGACGTGTCGAGATCTTACGTCGCAGTGTCATGGCTCGAGCCCAGTTGGGGGTGTTGATAAGACCTAAGCGAGGTCAATTCTGTAGTCCATTCTAATTGAGAAAACTGTTTGGGAAAACAAGTCTACGTGAAATTTACTGGAAATGTCATGTCTACTTATATGCTTGTGGGAAATATGATGAACACATCTCATATGCATAACTTAAAAGTAGCCATCATAGATCTGAGAAATTGAATTACTTGCTCTGACATGAACCGATGGTCATCATATGCTTCAATGTAGCAAAGAACTTGACTGATTTCAGTCTCAAAAACGATGTTAGTGCTAAGACTAATGAACTAGTCAGTATCTAGCGCTAACAAAGCACAAATTGGTGATGCAGTGAATAAAGCTCGACTGGACCACTGCAGATGAAATCGAGAGCTTCTGGACGTATGCAGGTACTGATAAATCGTTTAGTCAGGAAGGTAGAAATGTCATAAGAAGCTCATATCATACAACGGTGCGATACGAAAGTATCCATTTGTTCAGAGTAAAATTGCTCTGTGTGCCTGAAGTAGACTATCCGAATGGACACAATTCAGGCCATCAGAAGATAGGATGGAGGAACCGTAACAAAGTGGCAAGTTTAGATAAGAGAGGAGAGAGAGAGAGACTAGAACAGGAAGAAGAATATAGAGGGAGAGAAGGGAGCAAATTTGACGTCCATTTAGGCAATACTAATAGTAGAGGAATCCCCTAACCGCCAAGACGAGTTAAAAATAGCAGCACTTAGTGAACCTGCCGACTGGACTGACAAAGGATATTTTGAAGATGTGTCTAGATTCCATAGGCAATATAGCAATAACCAACACAGTAGGAGTTGGCACTCTTCTCAAAGCTCACCGCACACATGGCTACAATAATGAAGCCGAGTGACGGGAACGCTCTCCAAACATGATTAAACAGTGAAATGCAACTAGCAACATGTTTTCGATTCGAAGCCGTCAGGAAGCTGATTGTTGTCGGGTTATACCGAGTAGCTGTTGGTGTCTTATCGAACTGATAGCAAGTCAACCAAAAATTAATTTAAGAGGATGTTTAATCTCTGCCTGATCCAGGGTTCGAGTCCCGCTGAGAAGTCGGAAGGGACGATGAGGCGAGATCGAAGCTGCAGTCTAGACACGAGATAGAAATGATCTTTTGGGGTGGATGGTGAAGCTAAATTTATTGCAAGAATCAAGCATTCTCTTCACTGCATCATACCCATCTCACATTCAGTCTAATAAGAAACTATGCAAAGTTTAGGCTAGGCCAAGGTGGCCCGATGAGAGAAGTATGCAACCGCACAAAAGTCCACACGAAATCAGGTCTTGGCATTTTGCATGATTTGCATTTATAACTAAAAATAGTGAAAAAGACAGATTGT